TTTTTTTTTTTTTTTTTTTTTTTTTTTTTTTTTTTTTTTTTTTTTCTTTGGCTCTGCGATAAGGGTATGTTTCGGGTGACTTTTCTGCTTCTGCATGTATATGTTGGGGGGGTACACAGGCGATCGGTAGGTACGCGTTGCTACAAAAACGATGAGCGCTCGAAGGTTCAGAATTTTTTTTTTTGTTTTTTCAATTTCCATAACATTCTGAATGTAACAGGTATTCGCGGCGAGGACAATTAACGATTTTGCTAATGTTAATGAAAAGTGGTAAATTGCACAGTCGTCCGAGGGATCAAGAAACTCCAGGACCATTTAACCAAATATATTATATAATGCCAGAGTTACGTTGCGTCTATCATGACGGATCCAGCCCTCTCGTTTTCTAATTTATATATGATCACTTCAACGTAGCGAGCTGACTTTTTTTTTTCCAGTGCATGCGCTGAAAGTCAAATTCAACGGGGACAAAATGTTTGATCCGATTGTTCGAGCCGTCGTTTCCCTTCCTAACAGTAACAAGAATACAATATCGAAGGAAAAAAAAACCCGTTCCCATTGAAGTCGCGAAAAAGCAGTCCACCGTTTATCCATCGTCAACATCCTTTGCACAAAGGAGCCCATTCTTCGGTAGGGTATAATACATCGCACGAGGGGCCCACGTAACGTTTACATATATAAACGCACAATTAAAAACTAACAGCACCGCAATTATTCATCTCATTACTTCCACTCGGGACATCGCATGTATCAGGCATCCTTTTTTCCTCTCTCTCTCTCTCTCCCTCCACGTCCCCGTTCTTCTCTTAGCCGCTCATTACGTATATATATATACATAAAAAGCAATTGAAAGACTTTCCGGTACATTAGCCAAGTCCCTCTTATCTTGGCGCGTCGACCATATCCCCCCGTAGTTTTATCCTCTCGCCCGATGCACCCGAGCCGTGTATATATATACCTTTGGGCCTTTTTCGAGGGCAGGTTATGCAAAATCACAATGGCCCCGTATCCTCCTCTCGTGTATCCGCCTAATTAAGAAATTATGCCGATTCTCAGAGCTCGTGTTACGGGCGTGAGGGGGGGAAAAAAAAGGGTGTAATTGGTTAATGGAGCTCGCGGACCGGAGCGGATATCGTTGCCCGTGCAGTTGGTGCACGGCATCAGGATGAAAAACAAATTAATTTAAAAGAATAAACAATAACCAGTAGGTAGAGTGTTCTCGAGAGTGTCTCTGTAATGGATTGCTTTACCGGAACACATTGGTGTTGGTGGTAATTTATCGAGCTAAAGGTGGTGCCGCGTGTGCCTGTATACGCGTACAAACAATTCGACTCTCTTGAACTGTAAGTCTAGAATTGCAGATGATGGTTTTTTGCCTCTTCGGTCGGGTGCTACCATTTGTTTGAATGAATATTACTCTATAGGCATATAGTTTTTAACTACGTAAATATTTTTATAAAATACGTATATCCATTGAACACGTCACGAATACTCCTCTTGGGGGGAGGGGGGAAATGTATACTTGTGACCGATTGGAATGTCGATAAAATGCCCCCAAAGAGCCGGCAAAGTTAAATCGATCCTCTTTCGCTTTTTCCGCCATCGCATTCTGCGCATAAATTCCTTTCCCGGGATACGTTATACAACAGCCCATCAAGAATCTCGCAAACATCAGAGCTTCGTATTAAAAGTAACGGGATACCTATTCAAGAGATAAAAATTTGAAGTTACGGTAGAGTAGCATTATTTAACACCTACGTATGTATTGCATTGATGGAACAAATTTTTCCGATAAATTCATTACAATCGAATCGATGAAAGTACCATCACCAATTTCGTCTCATCAACACCCCACCATCATATTAAACCCTAATCTCATGGGTATTACGAAATCTCGACAAATTTCTCAAGACCTATCGACTTCTAGATACCTAATATTATATATACAAATGATACAACACCCTCACATTGGATCGGCCAACAAACAAAAAGAGCGCGATTGGCAAGCAAACATCGGTAGTTGGCTGCAAACTAAATTTCCGATCCAAAAGCACTGAATACACTTACAACCCTACAATCACAAAGTCACGTGCTGGCGTAAAGATTACATACACACACGTCATAGGCCAGTCAACAGCATGAAAAAAAAAAAAAAAAAAAAAAAGGGATTTAACGTTTAGGCACGAATCCGTACGGTGTAGGCTCTTCATGCCCCGTGCATTTGTAAGCGTTAGCCAAGCGCAGAGATAAGGGGTGGAAGGGAAGAACCAAAGCGCTTTACGTACCCCCCAATGGTACTGTAGGGTCTATAGTCTCTCTTTTCCTACTGCGTGTATGTCGCGCATACGCACACACATATATATATGTATGTATGTATACGTAGGCGAGTGGAGCGAGAACTAACGTATAGCAGCTGCTATTGACACCTCGATACTCTGACTCAAACGGAACGAACCAGCTCTCTTCTCTCCTCTTTCTCGTTGGCTCAGCACGCATTTTCTCTATATGTACATACAATACACGGTATACGGAGAAGAATCGTGTCCCTTGCATATATATGTATTTTTCTGTGTCTATGTGGTTCTTTTTTTCTCTTTTCATCGTCTTTTTTTTTTTACGCCGCCACTGCTGCTGGACGTGTAACTTTTCCTCCCTTTGGCACGACTTTCACTTGTGTATACCTGGTCTGGACTCTTGGGTTTATTTTTTACGCCCTTTGTGAACTGGAAAATGAGTATTGGAGGTAGAGTTTCATTTTGGCAAAGCTTTTTGTTTTCCATCTCTTTGTTAATAGGCAATAAAAGTATTTTGCGTAATCAAAACGATGCTGTACAAGTGAGTCCCAATAATTTTATTTGTAGTAAGGGTTGTAATTAATAGAAAAAATGTATCATGTAATAAATAAGTTCGGTTCAATTGTGTGTATAATGTTTTTCTATTTTAATAAATGAATAAAGGGACAATAGTATCGTCTTGATAGTATTATTGGTATTATTTGACCGAGATGGCTTCGTCCGTGCCAAAATTTGATTAATGACAGAATTTATATAATTGACGTGTACATGTAAAATGTATATTACAGGGGCAGCAATAATAATTATTTAAATCTTTACTACGCTTTCTATTTGTAAAATTTTTTTTTTTTTCAAGTAGCTAGAATAATCAACAATTGGAAAATAATTGGCCAAAAAAATTATCGATACTGATTGCAACGAGGCAATTTTAAAGCTGATTGTTGAGAAGTTTCTTATCAAACAAAAATTCTCCGAGCGCTTTTTGGGATGCAGTCATTTTTCCAAGAGTTGAAATCTTTCCCGCAAGGTCTCGTTGGCCTTTGTACTGCTCGGTCAGGAACTCCGCTGTCAGATAGTCCACCAACTGTAAAATGAAAAATATCCGAATAATCACACACGTTTCTGTAATTGCATTTTTAAGTAACGCTAAATTTTCAATGAGACTATGGAACATTCGAGTCTTGTTGAAAGTATTTTTCCCTTGTAAAGATAAAGCGTACAGTTGCAACTACAAAAGTTTTTCCCAAAAGTGATACCATTGGGCCAAGAAATGACAAAAGCGCGGCTTATCTGCCCTGTGAGGTATCTCTCCTGATTGCGAGACCCAAATCTCGATCGGAGCGAAAAAAAAATGTGTAAACCACTCACGTGATAATCGTTGAAGTCTTTCGATTCGCAGGTCTCGATGATTCGCCGAATCCTCGCGGTGACTTCCTGCTCGAGTTTCAGGGCTTCGGTGAGGGCCTCGACTCCAGTATGCCAGGTATGACGTTCCACTCGGGGCACTCTGGTCAGCAGCTCCGTTACGTCGCTAGTGAGCTGACCACGCATCAGGAGGTACTCCATTATTTTGATGCCATGCTCACGCTCCTCGCTCGCACTTTTCAGGAAGAACTCGCTGAATCCTGGCCGGTTTACTGTGTCGCGGGAGAAATAGGCACCCTCAAAGCAAACCGATCATTTTTTCCGCCCATTACAGGTACACCGGTACATTAAATTTTTTCACTTACCATTGCCAGATACGACATAGCAACGGTGAGCTCACTTTTCACCTGTTTTTTGAGTATTGCGACGCAAGGATCGTTCATTTTTCTCCAATCTTCGGGGATGTTGTTGACAGGCATTGTGGTACCTGAAATACGATTTTTTTTTTACCATCGGTGGCATTATTTTGTTTAAATTTATATTATTTATTTTATCATATATATGGGAGCTGAAAAATTACATGCATGGAGCAAACAAAGTATAGACTTGTCAGAAATTAACTGTTGATCGGCAAGGAACAGTTAAATGCTACGTAGGGCATTTATTTTCCGCGTGAAAGGGTTTTTTTTTTGTTTCTAATTTACCTTATAGCAGGAAATTTTATTTTAAAACCCATTTCAAACATTCAGTAAATGTGAACAGACAGTAAATTTGCAATAAAAACTAAACAAACTTTTTATTGTTTTTTATTGTATCTAATTTTATTCGTCAAATTTTTTACAAAAATGAGGTGTAAAATCATAGTATTGCATTGTTTAATTATTATTGTTAATTATTTTATGTTTAATTAAACACTTTGAGTAATATTTTTTCCCGAAAAGTATACCCATTGTTTTTGGTAGAAAATCTTTGTCCTCTGTTTGTTTAGCAAAGAAAAGTCCAGTATTTTTGTTGAAAAACAAAAATTATGTATTACAATACGTGGAAATTTATTTTCTAATACTTAAATATACTTGTCCTTTCAAACTTTTTTATTCGAAAAATATACCTAATGCATTAACATTATACAACAAAGTATTTAAAAAAGTAACTATCTATACATCAAACGAACGCGAAATTTTTAAGTATATTTAAGTGCATTTAAACTCCCTGTGTTCGCTAATTTGAGTCATGAACCACAAAGTGACTGCAAATGAATAAGTTGATCTTCCTAACAAAAAGTCAGATGATTGTATACCTAAATGTGATTAATTTCAATGATTCTGGTGGCAGGGTAATACTCAATTATACAATTCAGAAAATGTTGAACCAATTGAAAAACTCCAGTACATGCACACCTACTAACACATCATAGAGTAAGAGGTATCACTTAATAGTATACTCACTTACTTATAAGTATCATGTGTACTCACATTTAAGGGTATCATCGGCACCGCTGATTCCGAGGAAGAGGCTAACGATGACGAAAATTATTCCCAAGCCCCTCATTGTATGCGGAATGTGCGGGTAGTAAACTATTCAAGACAACAGTGAAAATAAAAGACCCTTGAATGAAAATTAAATCAAGTAAATGACGTATGTCTTACAATAGTATATAAAGTATGAGAAAACAGACAACCGGAGAGTACAATAGTGGAGCAACGAAGCCGTGACAACCTTTGTACGTGTACTGGCACACGGAAAACTGTCTTGTAGCCGATTAGGCATCGCTTCGTTAATCTATTCTCCGAAAAGGTAAGTAATTGAAGATAGTGTTTCGTGACAAATGCCCCACGGGCCAATCGGAATAAAGTAGCAATATAAATATAAGCAACGTATTTTCTTGGGACAGATCACGTCACTATTCCAATTTTCAACTATTGTCAGTTTTATCGTTTGTGCTTCCTGTAAAATGATAACATATGGCTGATAATACTCAAAACTTTTCACGGATACCACAAGTGATTGAACTCATTGAATTTTAATAGTATATTATTTATTTAGCCACGCGATGAATCCAATTACCGGGAGATACTCTTCGGGAATTTCATCAGCTACGTAGCAGTCAAGTTTACTGAACTGTTGTAGACGTCACGATTGAAAACTCAAAAATTGAAGGTATACCTATACTCTTTTTTGCCCGAGTTGTAAATGGCACTCCCATTAGATGTTTATAAAAATTTATTAAAAATTTTTGATGAAGGATTGATTTCTAATTTGGATCCACTTGCGAGATGGATCGACCGCTCGAGTTCGCGATTTTCGCAAGGGATAACAAATGGCTACTTTCATTCTGTCGCAATCGCGAAACAACGCAATAAATAACCAGTGCAGCGTGTACTCGTGAAAAACCGATTAATATATACGCGCGACGTGTATGTATACATGTAACGTACTCGCTCGGGACGTGAAAAATTATTGAAATTGCTTGTAACTTGTGTTTCTGATGGATTGATTAATCGAAAAGAATATTCATCCATATTCGGCTCCGAGATCGCTAGCCATTAGTCCATTGCCCCTGTCACGTGCCTCTCCCCCTTACGAAGTATATATATGCTCCCCATCTCCATGTGTATCTGTACATATAATATGTGCATACGTGCAGTATAATATGTGTACAAAGGAGCAATGAAATTCTAATTTTCATTTATAATCATATATAAAACGATGAGTTGTTTTAAATATACACCTATGGCATTCATGGCTGATTTACAATAACAACGGCGCACCTCGAATAAAATCTATTCATCGATATACCAAAGAGTTTTACCGCACGTTTTTTCATTCATCGATGAACAAAGTGAAAAAACAAAAATTATTCAAAAACATCAAACTAATACAGAATACAATTTGCTACGGTGTCTTAACATTACTCGAATCCAATTCGATAAACTTGGAAGAATACGCTAATTTTTCTTTATAT